CTTCAGCTGTAGCTTTATAGTCTTTTTAATTGAAGGCAAGGTTTAAGCCCTTTCTTCCTGGCTCTGCAGGCCGTCTTGAGGAAGTGTTTGTCTTGTTAAAGGAGCCTGATGCTGGAAATTGTTTTTAAATTCACTCATCAACCCGTGAAAGTACATACAAACGGGGGTAGTCTGCAGAAAATACCACAGACACAAATTTAAAACTAGTTTTGATTTATACTCTTAAGGTATTTTAAATGAGCAAGCAGATTTGAATAAATCAAGCTGCTATTCCAGAGAAGTGTCACCAGATTGATTCTCAGTGATTCTCCTCCTCTTTTTCGCGTCTTTTTCCCCCAGCAGTTTGGTTTCTTTTGTTGTTTTCATGCTGTCTTTTACATTTTCATGTTTAGGTTTCTTTTCTGTGCAGTGTAATGCGGCTATTTCTAAAGGTGTGCCAACGTGCAGAATATTAAGGATTTTCTCAGAGAAGTCTAGCATGTAGTCCCACTGACACCGACAAAATGTGTTGTTTCTCCTATTGAATGCTTGACCTATAGGTTTGTTTGTGCATTATTGAGGAAAAAATCTGTAAATTACTAAAGATTACTTTTCTAAATATCAGTGTAACCCCCTTACTAATTTGTGCATTAAGACTGGTTGTTTTACAGGGGAATAGCCATTATAATCTCGGCAACATTGTTGTCAAGCAGTTTTTTTTAATTTGACATTTCACCTCTTCATGCAATTAAAGTCCTGTGTTTCATTATCTGTTTCATGTTTCATAGGATATTCAGTGCAAAGAGCTCTTTCCATGTCCCGAGCCATTAGTTGTTGAATGGGGGCTGTCGCTTAGGGAAGAGCTTGTGTCTTGAGGAACTGGAGTTTCTTAATGGATTAATTTATACTGCAGGGCTGTACTGTAGTATTCTGAGTGGGAAAACTTGCTCAGGGGTACAGCACTGCCTGGGATTTCAACCCACAGTCTCCCATGAGCCTTTATTGCTACTCCCCACTGCTGCCCCAGTCTAAAGAGACCTTCTCAAGATTGATCAAAGAATAGCACACGTTTCCTGAAGACACTCAGCAGGCTCAGCAGGATGGAGCTTGCATCTTGTAGCCTGCAACACCCCTATTAGCAGTAATTCACTGCACTGAGAATGAGGAAAAACCCCTTTAAAAACATTTTTATAGGAGCACTTAATTGTTCTGTCACATGGTCATAATATCCACTATTACCGAGTAACTAGTAATGGGTTTGAAGGATTGGTGCCCCTGTATGATTTTTTTTCCTTATTAAATTAGGTTTAAATTTCATAAGTTATAAAAAAACACAAACTTTCTTCTTTCTTATAAGTCTGTATACATAAAAGCCATGCTTGGTGTGTTTTTGCAGCTGGGGTCTCAGTTGACACAAGAAAGGAGGGAAGGTTACAAATGAGAGAGACCATTTGGTCCACCTGGTACACTTGGTTACAATATACTCAAATTTCTTAAAGTCAAAAGCTAGTTTCCTTAGTTGTCCTTTTTCAAGCAGTGCTACTGTATTGTACTCCTATCCGTTCCCAGGTGACGGCTCTATCAAGGACCAGGAAAAGATAGGATAAGGTTGACAAACAAAAGAATGAATAACAGATTTAATGTTTAAGGTCCAAAGGCTGCATGTATTGTGTGACACATTGTATGTGACATAATTGCGATAATTCTGTCTCCTACACCTCTGGATAAAATAGCCAACTTTTTTTTTAATGTTTTTAGATGCTTTCCTCTACAAATCTAACCTGCACATATTCACAGCATAGGAAATCCTGCTGGGTTGCATTCCTATCCTGGATATGTACAGTCTCCCAGGAATACAAGGAAGGGGAAATGGCTCATTTTAACAAGTTACGTTTGTTCGCAGTGACAGTCAGACCCTGCTTCTGTGCTCCACGGTGGGAGTTCTAAAATAGCTGTTCCTGAAATGGAGAATAAATACCAGTGTTGAATATGTAATTTTCTGTTTCATAATGTTTCAAAATAAACACCAGAGCTGGGGCTCCATCATGTTGAATCCCAGCACCCTTCCAAGCTGTGCTGTAAATCAAAGTTCTCCTATTTAGTCATGTATTATAACTAGAAAAGCAGTTCTGTGGACATCGGCTATGCACCTTCATGCTGAGTGTTGTTTTTCACTACGCTAGCTGTTTTTGACTTCATAAGACTGGGATGATTTACCTTGTTTAAGGCTTGAAACAGATCAGTTCTTATTTGGAGATTGCATTTATTAAGCTATATAGTGCGTTTGTAAATAGTCTTCCTATGGGTAATTGATATGAATCATGTTTTATATCTTAAATTGACAACTGATATATGCCAATTGGTATTTATTCTTCTCCATTTACTTATTAATAATGGCTGAGTGGTTCAAAAGACGGGCTCTGTGTTACCTGGCACATAGTAATCTCGTTGATGCTTGTCTCGCCACAAATTATGGACACAGTGAAGCTTTGGATAGTTCCTTATATGCAATACTTACTGAGACTACGGGAACAATGAAATAATCATTCACTGCCCTGTAGTGTTTATTTTAGGGATGACATTTATGTGCATTCTGACCCATTTCAAGGCACTGCTATACTGTAAGACCTTTTACACTGGGTTTTCTTGTGTGCACTGTGTGCACTCTGGTGTACCTATACCTTTAACTGAGGTTACCTCATTCGTATAATTCTGGTTTTCCTCTCTACATCTAAGGAGAGTGTAAGTAATAACTTATATGGACTTCCTTTGTTAAATCCAAGATGAGAAATGTAGGGGTTGTTACAAAAACAGATACAGAAAAAGTCTGTAAAATGCCTGTCATATCAACAACACACAATTTCATGATACACTACTTCTACAGTTATAAGGGGGGACAGTGCACAAGACAGACCTTGTTAGCTTTGAGGAAAAAATGCCTTTTGTCTTTTTCTACCTAATAATTAATTTTTATAAGTATGAATTGACTGAGCAGTCTCTGAAATACTGCACTATAGTGTCATGAGGAAAGCAATATTTCTTTTTCAGCTTTACAGAATGAGCTGCTTTGATCTGTCATGAAACAGCCATAAAGGATCCTGTGCGCTTTAGGTGTCTGGGTTCATAGAGTAGTCTCAGTGCTTTTTTCTTTACTTTCCCAGTTAGAAGGCTATCCCAGAATACACTTTGTTGACTTTGTCTTTCAACAGCTTATCTTGTTCATTTATCTGTTATACACCTGTCATCTTCAAATTTGCAAAGTATCCTGGACCTGTTATGTATTTGGATTTGAGGTGAAATGGTGAATATGAGGCAAAAGTATGGAATGTTATCATTTTTTCTGGGTATTCCTGCACATATACACTTAGCATTTTAGGATAATAACGCTTTGTGTTCTATCCCCCACATCTTACATGAGCAAGTATTGGGACATATTAGCTTAAAGTCAATTGAAGTGGTATAAAACATATTTGGCTGCAAAGCCTTTGCAGGCAATATGAGCATGAAGCCTGCGACCTGTTAACATCACCAAACTCTTGGTTTGTTCTTTTGAGATGCGTCACCAAGCCTTTGCTACAGCCATTTTCAGATGGAGGGCTTCTGGCTTCGGTCTCCTTTTCAGCAAGTGAAAGGCACGCTCGACTGGATCTACATCTGGAGACTGGCTCGGCCAGTCTATCATTTCCCACTGTTTTCAACCTAATGAACTCCATGGTTATGTTTTGGGTCATTGTTCTGCTGCATGAGGAAATGCCAGCCAGTGAGTCTGGAGACATTTTCTTGCACGCAGGCAGACAAGATCTTTCTGTGCACCTCTGAAGACATTTTGCTGCTACAATCATTAGTTACGTCATAAATAAAGATGAGTGAGCCAAGCCATGACACTACCTCCACCATGTTCCCCAGATGAGGTGCTGTGTTTTGGATCGTCTGCAGTTAGCTCCTTTCCATTAGCTCCAACTTTCATCTTCCTGTCACTTTGGAAGAGGTTTGGCTTTGTCTCATCCGTCTATGACACTTTGCTGCCGAGCTCTGCACTTTATAGCGACTTGTAATTTCTATTTTTGGTGCTGATGAGAGGTTTTCATCGTGCGGTGTTCATCTGATGTCAAAGTGCTCTGCGAACAGTAGATTAGGATACCTTCAGCCCTGCATTGCGTATTTTGTTGGTGATTTCAGTGACAGTTGTTTTAGAGGTTTTTTTTCATAGCTCTGGTGATTGTTCTGTTGTTGACCGCAGTTGTTTTCCTTGGCTGACCTGCTTGTTGCTGATTGCTAAGTACACCAGGGCTTTCTTTTTTTTCCACGCTATTCCAAACTGTTGATTTTGCTATGCCCAGTTTCTGTGCTATAGACCTGATTGAATTATTTTCTTTCAGCATGCAAATGGCATGTTTTTCTTTCACAAACAGATTTGTAGTCTTCATGTTGGTTTAGGCCTACCGACTCCAAAATCGGTCACTAAAGGCAAGAGTGAAGGCTAAATCCAACACTACACACTCACGGCTCTTTTTTCGGTGCCCAATCAGTGCAACAGGAAACACCTGACCAATGAGTATCCACTTATCCCTATACTTATGGAGATTGAACACAAAAAGTGCTATTTTTCTAAAATGGCAAAATATATAAGCACAGAAATGACCCATAAAAAAAAATGTGACATTCTGTACTTTTGCCTCATATTCATCTTTGCTCCTCAAATCCAAATTGCTTGAGTATACCTCAAAAATAGCAACTTTGACTTCATTGTCCCAATACTCACCAAGGGCACTGTATATAAAGTAGTAGATGCATTAAATAGTACATGCATGTGATGCTATTGCTTAAAATCATACATAACACTACACCTACTGTATGTACAAAGTTCTGGAAATATGCAATAGTATCTTGGAAGTTGAATAGTTCCAATCCAGGGTGATTTTAAAGAGCTGAGCAACAGTGCTCAATGTTCTAAAAATAGTTTGTGTCACACTTGTGTTTTTTCTAACAGTCCTTTCTGTATTTTTGTCCACCCCACACAGGTTCTCAATAGCAGAAGATGTCCACAATGGTTTACCCCAGAGAAGAAAAGCTTGAAAAACTGACGCAGGAGGAGATAATCTCTAACACCAAGCTGGTGATCCAGGGGCTGGAGGCCCTGAAGAATGAACACAACTCCATCCTGCACAGCCTGCTGGAGACCATCAAGTGCCTCAAGAAGGATGAGGAAGCCAACCTGGTCCACGAAAAGTCCAACCTCCTGCGCAAGTCTGTGGAGATGATCGAGCTGGGGCTGGGAGAGGCACAGGTACAGTGAGACACAGCTCCTCGGGTCAGAAGACCATTCTGTGCTGAAAAGGGGAAACTGTGTGGCTGAGTGTGTTCATTATACTTCAGAACAGCTCTGTGGTTGTTTCATGCTTCGAGACATGAGTGTGTCTCTCATTCATGCTTGTGTTCTTCATTTATATTCTTGCTTTCTGTCCTGGATTTGGTATTGGTCTATTTTGCATACAATGAGTAGGAATATTATGATTCAACATTAAGGAGCTTCCACTTCTGTTAAATGTGAAGGAAAAAGAAAGAACTGATGTTTTTCCTAATGTGAAAAATGCATTTCTAAAAACTCATTATTATTACCTTCTTCATAAAACAGGATAAAACTGCAAAGTGGGAAACCTTCTTATGCAGGAAAAAAAAACCCACGCCGTGCCTTTCTTGATTTAGGTGTTTGTGAGCCATTCAAGTAAAGCACAGTGTTTGCTCCCGTGGAGGAGGGCTGAGTGAGTCTTCCTGCCTCACGGGCCTGCTGCCCCCGTCCAGTCTGGGCTGTCTCAGTTGCTGACCCCCGGCCGTGTCCGCTGCCGCCTGCAGGTGATGATGGCCCTCTCCAGCCACCTGAACGCGGTGGAGTCGGAGAAGCAGAAGCTGCGGGCCCAGGTGCGCCGGCTCTGCCAGGAGAACCAGTGGCTGCGGGACGAGCTGGCCAACACCCAGCAGAAGCTGCAGAAGAGCGAGCAGAGCGTGGCCCAGCTGGAGGAGGAGAAGAAGCACCTGGAGTTCATGAACCAGCTGAAGAAGTACGACGAGGACGTCTCCCCTTCGGTGAGCCCTCCTGCTTTCGCTTCCCAGCACTCTGGACAAGGGTGTCGTCTTGGGTGCACTAAACGGATGAAAGAAATCGGACCTTTCTATTTGTTCTGGGTTTTTTTTTTGGTTCGGGTGGAACCAAAGATGTCTGGTTTTAAGGAAACTCGCCGGGAAAGGTGATGGTTTTCCTAGGCAGGCTTATAACTTCCAGTTTGTCTGATATTAAAAACTCCATACTTTGCTTACTATGCAGGTTTAGCAGGGCATTTTTCAATTTACAACTGATTGAAGATCAAGCTGGCCATTCTGACTTATTTGCCAAATAATTAGATCAATAATTAGATCAAACCTCAGAGCCCCACAAGAATTAAAATGGATCATCCCTGCTGTAGATTATTATCTGCTCCATTTGTCTCTGGAAAAAAGACTCTTCTTCTCCGATTTGCTTCCTTACATGAGGATGCTACTACGTGCTTACTGGCAAGGAAACCAGCAGTCCTTCATGTAATATCCACAGTGATGTCTGATGGTCTCAATGAACATTTAGTGTTAAGCAAAATCACTTAGGCTGATCTCAGCAGTTCCTTGTTAGTGCCTCAACTTTCCAGCAGAGCTAATGTAAATCCACCTGGAAAAAAAATCTTCATTTTAAGACTGCTTGTTCAGCAAGAGTTTGATTTTTCATTTAATTTCCTTTCTTAACTCCACTGCAAAAAAAGTCTTTTAGTTAAGCTGCAGGAATTCTAAAAAAAATCCTAAAAGCCGCAGCCTTAAAAGGTAAGTGTACAGCTCTCCATAATCCCCTGAGATCCCAGTGGGGAAAGTTGTTCATCTCTGGATGACTTCAGATGCGGGGCCTTAAGAATAACAAAAGTATCGATAGACCTCAATGAACATGGACTGTCATCTCCTTTTGTGTAGAAATGAGCTTCAGTTTGCCTGGCCCAAGTTATGAAAAATGGCCGGGAGTGGATAATCTTGGTTGCATCTCTCATACCTCGAATCTTTTCCCAGGAGGAGAAAGATGGGGAGCCTCCCAAGGACACTCTGGATGACCTCTTTCCCAATGATGAAGAGGAGTCTGGCCAAGGAAGTAAGGGAGAAAAATTCAATTTCTGTCACAGTTCAGTGTCAGACGCATGCGGGCCTCCAGGTTAGGAGGTAGGAGGTGTGGCCAGACATGGCCGCGTGGCTCTACTGTCGCCACCTTTTGGGCTGACCGGCTGCCATCCCTCTCCTCCCCCTCCACAGTGCAGCACCAGCACAACAGTGCAGCAGTGGCGGCGGCCCAGCAGGGAGGCTACGAGATCCCCGCCCGTCTGCGCACCCTGCACAACCTGGTCATCCAGTACGCCTCCCAGGGCCGCTACGAGGTGGCTGTGCCGCTGTGCAAGCAAGCGCTAGAAGACCTGGAGAAGACCTCTGGCCACGACCACCCAGATGTGGCCACCATGCTCAACATCCTGGCTCTGGTTTACAGGTGGGGCCACCCTGTACTCTGCTCGCCTTCCACTGTCCCTTTTCCCTGTCCTAGCTCTCACGTGACCCAACACAATGCCCCTGCCGTTCTGTCGTGCGTGTGCCCATCTACGAGAAAAGCGCGCTTCTAAACCGCAAGCTTTGATTTCTTCCTTTTTAGGGATCAGAACAAGTACAAGGAGGCTGCACATCTGCTCAATGACGCTTTGTCCATCCGCGAGAAGACGCTTGGAAAGGATCATCCTGCAGTAAGTACCGTCGAGAAAAAGGCCGCAGAGGAGAATGAGTTCATCTTGACAGTTCAGTAGCATTGTGGATTGGTGATAGTTAAGAACTGGACAAAATGCCGTGAGGTTTTTGTTTATCTCAGTGCAGTTTCAAAACGTGGATATGTAAATTGAAATAACTTTGTGTTCTTTTCACTAGAACACCCTAGGGCTTCTTTTGGAGTCAAGGCTGTTTGATCATGGATTGATACCTCCTGTATTCATTCTCTTGACCTAACAGAGATAAAAACATTTTTCACATGAAGCACAGAAGACATTCAGAGAATTCATTATGTTCTCAAGTGTGCACACTCTGCACTAGTGCAGATCGTATTGAAGTAAAATTTCTGTCTTTGTGCATGTTTAAAAACGTGACCTTGGTTTGGGGGAGGTGGAATGTATGCTGAAAATACAATCTGTGACAGAAACAGCATTGCAAGTGTGTGTGCTAAATGTGAAGGAGGGAGCCATTTAGACATCCGGGGGATATTGTCAGAGGCAATTAATGAACTGCAAAGCAGAGTCTCTGCACAGCAGGTTCATGACCTCGCAGCTCTGGAAACCTCTGAGACTGAATCGGTCTAATTAAGCCAGCTGCTTGGCGTGTATATTTATGTGCCCGTGTGATTTTTATTTTAGGTTGCTGCCACACTTAACAACCTGGCTGTGCTCTACGGGAAGAGGGGAAAGTACAAGGAGGCTGAGCCGCTGTGCAAGAGGGCACTTGAGATCAGAGAAAAGGTGTGTCTGCATCTCCATCCTGGGGAAAACACCGTCTTGCCCACAGCTACTCTTAAAAAGTCAGAGAGCCACATCTACCAAATAGTGCAGTAATGCAGTTTTCTGTGCGCTACTTTTTCGGAAAACGCAGTCCTTGGATTTTCTCATTTGCATTCTAGACACAACTCTTAACATGTATTAACCCAGAGCGGAAAGCTGCAGTAAAATGATGCCCTTAAAATTGCCGGTCCTTGTGGAAATTTCTAAGAATGGAAAAAACAAATATAAACCAGATGAATATGAACGTATGTTAAGGTGACACTATGACATCACGTCAAGATTTTATGTAGAAAAGTGAATTGATTGGAAGTGGCCAGTTTAAGGTGATGGCAAAATACCCATCTTTGTGAAGTGACAGACGAAGCAACACAAGTCACTTAAAACTTTTCTTTTGCAGGTCTCAGAAATCATTTAGAATAAAGAACTGTAACTACACTGTCAGGAAATGCCAGGTAGCTGAACATGACGCCAAGCGTATATTTGTCTAGATAGCCAATTAAAAGAAACGTACGAAACAAACGTTTCTTCCCTTTTAGTAGTTCCGTGTTCGGGGGGAGAGGGGAATACAGAACTGGGGGGGTGGCTCCCCTCTGACGTGATACATGAAAGCTGTGTGTGGTCTCCTCAGGTGCTTGGGAAGGATCACCCCGACGTGGCCAAGCAGCTGAATAACCTGGCGCTGCTGTGTCAGAACCAGGGGAAGTACGAGGAGGTGGAGTATTACTACTGCCGCGCCCTGGAGATCTACGAGCGCAGGCTGGGTCCCGACGACCCCAATGTTGCCAAGACGAAGAACAACCTGGTGAGCCTGGGGAGCCCGTGCGTGTGCGTGTGCACGCAGTCGCGTTGGTGTCGGGTGGTGCCGAGATCTTTCTTGGTGCAGCACAGGATCTCTTCCACATTTCTCGCGACTAGAATAAACAGCCGTGTAATCAACACCTCTTCCCCACTTTGCATCATTATTTAAACTGCTACGCGATAAATCCGCTCGCTGCGCAGCACCTCTGTGCAGCCGCTGTCAGATCTGGTGATGGGCAGATGTATGCAGTGCTGGGCATTGCTGTACACTGTTGTGGATGTGGTCCTAGCCTACACTCTGCATATCACTGCAGATTCAAGCTGGAATCTGTGTAAGAATAGCTGGGATCTTTGTTCAGCAGTATCACAGGAATTTTATGGAAGACTGGATTTACTTACACATGCTTTGTTGAGGGGCATGTATCTGATGGATATTATTTGTGTGTTTGTTTTTTATACCAGTAGAAGCTTTGCTAAAAAAGAAATCGATAGCGACTTGTATGACACCCCGGTTGTCCAGTGTTAACCTGTTGTGGCACAAAACCCTAAGTTCCTCTTTGTGCTTAACCTACATTACACTTCTCCATGTCTCCCAAGCAGAAATAGCCAGGCAGCTACTGTGTTTCACAGGCTCAAATACAGCATCCTTTTCTTACTGTCAAAAACACAAAATTCAAAAGTTGCACAGTCCCGTCTCCAGGGATTCTGCGATCCATCCATTAGAAGGACAAATGTTTTCTTCCCTCCATGGAAGCCTCTACTTCCTGGCATTTAACTGTCACCTGATCGGTTGGCTTCCTCTGATTGGTTATAGGTGACTCAGGACAACTGGTCATTTCCCACAGCCTTCTGGGAAATGTGGTTCTGACAAAAAAAACATCTTGTCTTGGCTTACCATCCACTTCTGAATTCAACTAAATTTGTGAATGTCAGTTTTTTTTACCCAAAACAATCTCTCATCCATTGGAGTGTTGAAAGAGAACTTGCTCCACCCTATCACTCTATTTTATGAGAAAAACACCTAGTGCCATTGTGCCAAATTTGAATTTCATATCCAGCCTCTTTTCTGCTATGGAACGTGATTTAACTTGTGTACAAAATTACAGGATTGATTGCTTTTTCGTTTGCTAGGCTTCCTGTTACCTGAAACAAGGGAAGTATAAGGAAGCAGAGATTCTGTACAAGGAGATTCTCACCCGCGCTCATGAGAAAGAGTTTGGCTCAGTGGATGGTGAGTACAAACGTACAGTTTTGTGAACATTTTCTTATTGTTCTTGTGCAGTAATTTTAAAACAAAAAGGTTCAATTCTCGGGCAGGACTGTGGTCCAGGACCTATGCTTAATTCTGGCCTTGCAGTCCAGGTTAACAGGCAGATCTGATCTGACCGTTGAGTGTGTATGAATGAATGTGTGCACCTGAGATGGCCTGGGACCTGTCAAGGGTGTAGTTTCACCCTGTGCCCTCTGCCTGTCCGGTTGGCTCCTGCTCACCTTAACCAGTCCTGGTCCTGGAGAGTAGGTGTGTCTGCATATCTGCACAATGTCTAGAACACCTGCTTATACACCAGAATTGGATGGTCCTTTTCTATAGATAATCAATTGGCAGAAAGTTCTAATAAAGATGCTTTTCTGAGATTTCTACCTAAAACGTTATACTCCAAAGCACTGGTTAGAAACATATCAAGCTTTTCTGTATGGAAAGCCTGTCAATGTGATCTAGTTTCCAGTGCTGCAGAAAAGGAAGAGCCTGTTTTGAATGTCTAGATTTCCTGTCTACATAATAAAGCAAAAGCTCACAGTATGAACTGTTACTGAGCAGTTACTGTTACTGGAGGGAAAGGTGGGAGTTCAGTTTAGGTCTCGGGGTTGTTTCTAGATGTGACTTTCATATTTTTAGAACTTTTTCACATCAACGAATAAGATGAATTCTTGTCTTGAACCAGCAATTGGCTTTGCAGCACAGCAGAGGAACTCACACCAGTTTAAAACAGTGAAGCGTTGCTAAGGTGACACAAGACAACATTGCATGCTGGCCACTCACAGAAGAGGTTAAAGAATTACCCAGCGAAGTTGCTAAACCAGGAGAATTAAAGAAGAGCAAGGCCAGAGCAATAAAAGTTGTTTTCTCTTCCCTCTGAATTGGAATGGTTCTTTCTTTTTTACAACTTCTTCGAAACCTTTTTTTTTAAATCTCACTGGAAAGCTTTATCTTTTTATTTTTATCGCCTCACAACCTCTTACTGCCTGTGGTAAAGTGTTGAAAATGAGGAGGCCTATAGAAATAAGGGAAAACAATCATCTGAAATCTGGGGTTATAGCATAGATAAATAGATTGTCTAGGGGTCTATTAAATTGCAATGCAGCAGCTTTAGAAATGGACTGAAATTGTCTTTGCCACTGGAAATGGAGAGGAAAAATTAGAATATTTCCATTAAAAATAAGGATATTGCACAACTGTGATCTCTTTAATGTTGTTAACTGCATGAAGAAATGCAAGCTTCATAAATACCATGAAGGACTCCTTTGAGGGCTACTTCAGTATTATGATAGAATGCCGTTTATCTCATAAAACCGTTACGCAGAATTATTTTTAAATGAGCACTTGTATGTGGGCTGAGCTCTATATGGGTACTTTCACATCTTTTGCACTTTTGTCTGTAATCCCTCACACTCATCATCAGATTGTCTCATGTGCACACACTTTATGCATAATGAAGTGGAATTTCATTGCTAATTGAAGCCCCTTTTGTCTGTTTTCATGATTTATTTCATAATCATTGTTTTGTGGTGTAACATTTCTTTCGTGTCGTCTATTTTCAATGTAGAAAAAGGAAACCATTTTTCTTTATTGCTTAAAAATACAATCGGACACAGTACACACTGTACTGATTATTAAATGGGGAATTCTGTTTGAATTTTTTTTTATTTCATTAGCTTTATAATTATGTTTATGTATTGTTTATGTAAGTTTCCTTGTGTGGCTGTAGCACAGCTGTAATGAGTTTTTCTTTTATGGTTCAGGATCAGTATAAATAATATACAGTTTATTGTCAAAGCTTTTATTACAAACACTGATAGATCAGTGTAAATGAACTAGTATTCGCTTTTCATTTCTTTATTGTGTAAAAGCACCTATTAAAACCACACTCACTCAGGGGATGGACTGAAAAAAATCATGCTTCCCTGTGTGTTTCATGTGCAATCCCACATTACAAACAAGTGTGACTATAAAATACTGTTTTGATTTTGGCTCGACCGATGACATGCAGTGGAGTGTAATGCCAAACAACATCTGATTTATGCATAGTTTGCTGCAGTTTATAGGATCTTTTATTCTTAAATGAAAAAGACAGATGGCAAGGAAAAGATTCATTTCAATAGCAGTGTTGGAAAAACACTGGTAAATGGTGAACTCCTCTCTGCTGTATACCAGTCAGAAAGCTTACTGCAAAGGTAGTTAGATTTTGGTAGAAATCAGTTGCTACTCGCAGTAAAATGACTATCTGTTCAATGGGGGAAAACTTTGTCTACAGCAGAGTCTTTTTTTTGTTGTTATTCCTGTGTTTGGTTATTTCAGCAATTTTTAAAATACTATCCTATTCAACATTTTAAAATACTATCCTGAACTTTATTTAAGGTGTTAGCCACAAACACCAGGCATTACAAGATATGTCATTTCTTTAAAGGAACAAGTAAATGTTTATTCCATGCTGAAAAGAGAAGAAAGAAAACACAATGTTTCGGCTGTGGAGCCTTCTTTGGGTGTGATGTAACTTGGCAAAGAAAAGAATCTTCACACCTGAAAAAGGCTCCACAGCTGAAACGTTGTGTTTTCTTTCTTCTCTTTTCAGCAGGGAACAAACCTATTACTTGTTCCTTTGCAGCCTACACATGCAGACGCAGCTACCCACCTGATATAATTTCTTTAGATGTCAACATTTAAAATACCAGTACATGTAAAACTATGAAGATTTTCAAAGAACTAAGAAACTGAAGAGAAAAATCTGTTCAGCAGCATGAATTTAGGCAGGAAACCAGCTTTTGGAAACATGCCACACCTGGATGTAAACTTTTAATTCTTCACACTTTTTTATTCTTTCTGGCATTGTTAATAATAGGGAAAGAGTAAAGAACATTACCTGGTTGGCATGAAGACATCCACGGAACACAAAATAAAAAAGAACCTTTATGCAAGAAGATAGGCTCTGCAATGTCAGTCACAGTAAGATTACCAAGGACAAGTGGTCATCACCGCCTTCTAAATCCCAATGCAAAAGGAATCATGTCAGTTCCTCAATATTTAATTTCAAAACTAAGGTTTGTAAAACTTGGCATATACAGTACAAAGCTGTTTTTAGGCAAGTGGGTTCAGACCCTCAGACCTAAAGTCCATTAACCCCTCATGTTTGATTTTTGAATGCCTCTTAACAAGTGCAGGCTGTTTATTTCCAGGTCAAAGGTCAAGTGATCGGTTTCCTGTACGCTAGTTCTGTCTGTTTCATTGCAGCTCAAAACAAGCCCATCTGGATGCACGCAGAGGAGCGGGAGGAGATGAGCAAGGTAAGTGCTGTGCTGTGCTTGTTTTTGGGTCAGGTATGTCCACTTTAACAACCTGGGTTACATTTACTTACGAAGTGTGGATTTGAGCTACACGGTAAAGCAAAATAAACACTTCCGCACAAGATGAAGGTCTGACTCTGTAGTTTGCCCTCGATAAAATGTGCGTTTGCATATTACAGAGTGCGGGTTCTTTTTTTTGCCAGGTTATATCAGAGCAAACACTTTTCCGGTCTTGGGAGGGTGTGGTTACTGTAAAGATGGCGAGAGACAGGGCTTGTAGTCGGGCTTTGGTGTTTACCTAAAGGGTGGAGTGTTTCATCCTTCATACCTGCCAGGTGGAAGTGTGTCTGACAGAGGCCCTGTTTTGTTTCCCCCAGGGCAGACACAGAGACAGCGCCCCCTATGCAGAGTATGGCGGCTGGTACAAAGCCTGCAAAGTGAACAGGTAAGGAAAGAATGCAAAAAGAAATGCAGATCTGGGTTTTCTTTTGGTCTCAAGATTTGCACCTACTGCCAGATAATGCAAAGAAGGGCCTCTTTTGTTTTTCTTTGTGTTAAACTCATGCTGACAGCTGATATTACTTTACAGGTTATCCAATTCTGCATTATGTATTACTTGGAGTTTTAAGTGATAGCTCTTTGCTATGGACTGATGGGCCAAATAACTAAAAAGAAAGACAAAACACCACAAAGAGTTGATGGAATTGAGCTTTGATGCCTGAAATTACAGGTTGTGTAACAGGTTCATTATGATGAAGAGGATGAGGGGAAGGAATGTGAGAGGCAAAGCAGCTGGTTTAATTTATTGTTTGAGTCTAATGGGCAGATTGCACCCGTGTGACATTACCCAGTAAGCATGGACCTGTAGACCGTAACCTGGCCTTCAGAAAGATCAGAGCTCTTGAAAAAGTTTTCTGTTGAAGTGACTCTCCACAACTGTTCACAGTACCCACAGGCAATTACAGCTGGCTCTTCAAAGCAATTCACAAATGTGTTGGCAAATTAAATGCAACACTACAAACTGAATAACTGTGTAATATTGAATGCCAATTTGTATCTGAAGCATTTTAATATGCACCTGAAATCTCCACATTACAGAAGTTGCAAAAATTCTAACCTTGCCTGAAATCTCTCTACTGCAAGACAATAGTTAAGATAATTTGCATTCCATTTTCCTCCTAATTTCAATGCACTTACAAACTCGAAGTGTGAGAATAAGTACTTTGTCAATTGGTAATGTGCGACATCTCCATTTTGAACTTAAGGAAGTACCACGTTTTTATTTAATATTCCTCTTATTAAGCTAAAATGTACTTTTTTACTCTATTGTAGTGTTCTCTGCGGTGTTGGTAGTTACTTTGCTTGATTTCTGCGGGAGTGTCACAGCTCCAGTGTCCTGCCGGTACTGGACGGCGGCTGTGCCGCGGAGGCTGACGCGACCGTGCTTTTCGCCCCCGCGGAGGCTGACGCGACTGTGCTTTTCGCCCGCAGCCCCACTGTGAACACGACCCTGAGGAATCTGGGGGCTCTGTATCGCCGGCAGGGCAAGCTGGAGGCCGCAGAGACGCTGGAGGAGTGCGCCATGAGGTCCCGCAAACAGGTGAGCACAGCCCCTGCCTCCTGCGGCCCCGTGCTGCCTCATTCACAGCCTGCGCACGCCGCCCAGTCAGGGCTTACCGTGTCTCCAAGTGAAACCAAGTTACACAACCTCTGCGTGGTACGAACACGTTTCTGCGAATTCAAGCAGAAAAAGACCATTTAACTAGGGGTGCCTCAACTTTTGCACACCACCATACGCTCTGAACCTTCTGCCGTTTCTCAGAATTCACATGGGAGCGTCAACTTCCTTTGTAAAACTTCAAAAAGCAACAACAGTAGTCATCTTACACGTTGATCGTTACTTTGTACCGCAGGTTAATTTAGATCCAGCAAAATTTAGATTTGAAGATAAGATTTTTTAAATGGGCGTGTCTTTGTAATACTTGTGCCTCTGATCTTCTTGGGACAGTTTTGTTTTGTTTGGACCTTATGTAGCATTTCCACCGTAATCTTGCAAAATGTTAATGTTTTGTTTTTCAAACACAGAAGTGAGTTATTTGTTTTAACAGGATGTTTTCTACTTCACAAGTTCTTAAGGAAATAGTTCTCCTCCTGCTGTTTTGCTTTTGCAAAAGAAATTCTAAACAAATAGCCCTCAAAAGAAACAAATCACGTTAGTGTAACACAAAATATTCCTAGTTTTGTTCTTTTTTTCCCGTTAATCGTGATTTCACACTGACAAAAGGGTTTTCTGAAAGGTGACAGTGTGGTTATCATTTAAGTGCATGGATGCACTCTTTCACTGAGGCCTTAAAACAGAGGTGCAAGTGTACAGTATAGGTGCTGTTTATGCTGAGCAGAGTCACACATGTTGCTTTTCTCTTTCCCTGGCTTTCCATGGATCCAGAGCACCACAGTAAGTTCCTTACTCCCAGAACTGCACAGCTGTTGTGTAGCTACACCTTGACAAACATGGAGGAAGGGAAAAATAGGACCTTCCCACATCATCCAGTGTGGGGCTTTCCCCTCCGAGCTCTTGCAGGCGCTGCAGCTCTTGGAATCCTACAGCTGTAGTAAAATAGTCAACACCAGTTCTACAACTCATGCATGACTGATAACGATAGTAAAGAAGAGGTCGGAATGTTTTGCAGTCCTTGGATTCACTTGCAGCAATCTGTCAGGCACCTGAGTATTTCAGACATGTGGGTGGGGTATATTTGTCACAAGTCGCAAAGGGGTGAGGGTTTGGGTGAGTACGGTTGTTTTAGTAACTGTAGGACTCGGTTTGATTTAGTTCCTTTATGTTAGGAAAGCAGACAATACACCTGTCGTGGGAGTCTGGCTCTGGGGTGGGGGGTCTTTTTTAGGCTGTGGGAAATGTGTGACACCAGGACGTGCAGTGATGGTATTTCTGGGGTCAGAAACATTCTTTCTGCGCTGGTGTTTAAATAGGTAGTGTGTCTAAACGTGTCCTTTTCCCCAACACTGATTTTATAGTTATTGGACAGGAGGCTGTTCATGCTGTGTCTGAGTATAAATCACATTGAAGTGGCCTGTGCTTGAGCTGATCTCTTAGAGAATTAGGATATCCCTCTGGAAGTCCTTTATTAATAAACGTGTTTCAAAGCTGCACTGAACTGCGCTGGGATTTCTCCCATCCCTGCATTTCCTTGACACCACTGCGAGACACTGAGCTGGGGTGCCGTGTTTCTCTGTGTGTGTGTGCCAGGGCATTGACCCCATCAACCAGACACGGGTGGTAGAGATCCTGAAGGATGAGGACACCCCAGGGCGCCGGAGGAGCCGGGACAGCCTTGGGAGTGCTGTCAAGTACGAGAACAGCTCGGAGGGAGGCGAGGAAGTGAGTATGGGCGTGGACTGGAATGGGGTGAGTACAGTTCCACTTTGTTTCAATCCGAAAATGGCCAGCAGACTTTGGCGGTCAGTGTAGCTGTGTATGCGGGGGACAGTGTACTGGTATTCCTCACCCCTAGAGGAATTTAATAGGCAGTATCAGGCTTGAATCTCCATAGACGATCACTGAGGTCCCTTCTGCTTGTGAAAAGCAGAAGAATCCGGCGATGAGCCATATTTACAATTGCTTTCAATCTCCTTTCCCAACGGACTCACTGGTCTTACAGACACATCTGTAAGGGATCCCTAAATTAGCAGCCATGAAAGAGCTGTGCGGCTGTTTGCAAATTTATTACGCCGTCCTCACAGTGGGAGAAGAAAAAACGGGTGCAAACAAAATACGGCTGCAGATTTTTCAGGAATACAGCCCTATGTAGAGTGTGAACAGCTGCCAGAAAACCACATGGCTCTGGTGGCGTTCCAACTTAATTGAGACCCGCCTGTCCGCTGTTTGCCCTTGTTTTCTCATTTGTTGCATTTCTGATGGCATTTCTTTCTAACACAGTGCTGTTATTTAAGGGGAGATTGGAAGACATTGAAAAAATTAAGGACGCATTGTAACGATAATGTTGTGTATACACGCTGAGCATCAAAGGAAATGTATCACTTTAGGTGTGTATGATTTTAGACAAAGTTTATGGATTTTGGATAATGATGAAATGATCCTGATGTCATTTTGATGAATTGATGGTCCATGACGGACTGTAATACACTTGAGTGATATTGTCGAATGAGCAGTAAGTCGCCTCAAGAGAGCCAAGGCCGATTGGGCACAGGTGATGGGCTGATTGCACCTTTGGAAGCACCCTTGTGCCATCAGTGCGTTGGAGGCTGGACTAAGTCACTACATGTAGCTCGCCTGCAGGGTAGCCAAGTCCTCTTTAGTGAGTTTTGGGGCTGGGCCCGACATGACAGCGCCGTCCCCCCTGCTGCTGGTGTACCACCAGCTGTCCTGTGAGCTGGGAATGTGGCAGTGATGTCACGGATGCCCTGCTCCCCAGACCAGAGCCCTATGGAATATCTGTGGGACAGTGTGTGGATTCCAGGGCTCGGAGATCAGTAAACAGATGCATGCTTGTCCAGGCTGTACAAGAGTAATCTGATAGAATCCACCAGGTGGGTTAAAGGAGGTGACACAGGTGTCCAGATTGTATGGCTTCCAGTAGTGGCCACACACTCTATTATGCTGGCCTGTGACTTTTGCTGATCCCCTGTTAATCAGCCCTGTTGCAGACAGTTGTTAATGAGGGTGATGAGCTTACCTGTGTCATATAATGTTCAATAAAATACCAGTGCAACTGCTATCAAAAGGTTCAGATCCTCCAAGTCATAATAACCTATTGCATTTATAAGCAATACATTTCTTCTGTTGCTCAGTACAGTATATTTTGCCAGGTGTATATAGGTCTCCTTTATCATTCAGGCACATTTTAAAACTGTAATGTACATGAGAAAAAGCATCTATTACTTTACCAATACCTGTACACTGCCCTTTGCGTATAATCAACACTGACCATTTAAAATTCAACAGTAAAGATTATTTTTGTCAAATTCAGTGCTGATTGTATGTCCTGGCATACATTTACATTGTTTTTTGTTATTTATTATTTGTGTAGCTGCTGGCTAATGTTTTCATTTTAACTCCTTGTTTTTTTTTGTTTCATTTTTGCTTGTTGTAATGTAATAGTCCAGAAATGTGTTATCGGATTGTGTCAGTTGTCCATCTTGGAAAATAAACTTCACAGGTTGCCTTTACAATAATGAGTAGCACGTATGATGTTTTCTGTCATACGTGGGGTTTTTTTAGTTTTTAATATCAACATGAATTTCCCATCAGATGTCCTTACGGAAACTGAACAGAAGTCTCAAAATAAAAGTGAGCAACACAGTCAAAACTGTTAAGATTTATTGGCCATATACTGTACAATTTCTTGTATTCTCCATTCTTGCTCTCCATGAGACACACAGACAGGGAGAGAAGCTTGGGGTCAGAGCGCAGGGTCAGCCATTTATACGGCACCCCTGAAGCAGTTGGGGTTAAGGGCCTTGCTCAGGGGTCCAACGGAGTAGGATTCCTCTGCCGGCCGCAGGATACGAACCGGCAACCTTCCAGCCACAGGCGCAGATCCTTAGCCACAGAGCCACCACACCGCCCCAAGTATTTAATCTTAAGTAATTGAATGTAATGAACTGTTCTTTTTCATGACTACTGTCATGACGAATGAGGACACCATTTTTAAAACGTTTTGTCATCATGTCTGTTCTGGCCTCTTATTTTTCACTTACAGTATAACTGTATTTCCATGCTCCTCTTTGGCAATGCTGTGTCAGCATTGTCCTTTGATTTTGTCCTCAAGCAAAATCTTTAAAGCAATTGTAAAATACATGTATTTGTAAAACAGGTTTAGAGCTTTTATAAAATGAATCCCCTCTGCTTGAATGTCCATGTTTAAAACGTCTGGCATGGAAAAAATGCTGTAGCAGGGGCACTTAAGGAATCCCAGAAGGAGAAATGATAATGATTTGGCTTCACATGGGAGCACCAATACAAGACTCTGCAGAAGGAATCTTTGATTTGTTTACAAGATGGACCACTCAGATATAATCCTCCCGGAACTCCATGGAGCATGTGCTGTCTTGCTGGTTTTTATTTTCATGGTCGTAATGCTTGCACAGTTCAGGCCTGACATTTTTTATTTATGCCTTACATCACCATTAACCTTCACGTCTGTTGCTGTTTAATTTACTTTGCAAGCCTGTTGTTTTGTAAGCCTGTCTGAAAGCAATGCACCTGAAAGTCACCTACTCCCTTGTGCAGTATTTTAAAATTATTTTCTCTTTGTTGGTACTAGGCTTCATCTATTATTTCATATATTAAGAAACTTGCAGCTGTCTGTTTGTGAAAAATGTTTATTTTTATGGTGGTTTAAGTACTCAGATATTTACATTCTGGTGTCTTCACTGGGTTATTTTCACCGTGTTAATCAGAGCATTTTTGGGTGTCAAAAGCATGTTAAACAATGTGAGCAGCAGTTAACTGGTCATGTACATCCTGAAGACTGTTGCTGATCGGGCTCTGAATTGCTGATTCATCCCCAAGAAACATAGCTATAGCTAACATCCCATGATTCTTCAAGTCATTATGAGGGTGTAAGGTTTGTGCAGGTTATAAATTACTCATTAAACTAATGCTGAAAGTGTAGAGCAAACCATTGTTTCAGTAACTAAGTAATTAACAAATCACATACTTGATCTAAAATTATCTGACTTTGGAAAAAATTAGGGGAATTTCTAAATTCCACTGGGTGTTTATTGATGCTATTTTCAATCTAGGTTAGGGTGGCCAGATCAGATTTAGTTGTATTGGGGTGTGCTGCGCAGGGAGAGCATGAAAAAAGCTACTTGAGAAACGAAAATGGACTCTGGGATTTTTTTAGTAGTGGAGGTAGGATTTTCTTCAAGACTGCTTTACCTAGCAGACAGTGATCTTGCCTAGCGATAGGTACAGAGGCACTATTAAAGAAGATGGAATCTGTCTCCACGAATGCTTTACACATGATGCAAAGATATCATTGATATCACTTTCTCTGTGTTGCGTTGTCTTTTGGCACTCTCTCTTCAGGGAGAGAAACCCAATGTTACAAATCGTGCACTGAGGCTGTTCTACTTATGGAAGTGAAACTAAGAGCTCTGTCTCTGCAGTGAAAGAATTTGTTTTGCACGTTGGGACACTGATACTAGAGCTGGTCAGTGGTGTTGAGTTGGGTGCCCATGAGCCTCTAAGTTGGGCACAGGTAACCTCAATGTTCCAGACCTGTGTAAACCTTCTGTGCTGCTCATTCCTGGTGAAGCGTCATGTATTATTGTCAGAAACGGGATTTGCAGTAGTCTGTAGATGTTGTTTTCACCATACTGATGGCGTTTCACTATATGCATGGTGGATTTTAGCTCCATCACCAGTGGGAGAATTCTCATATTTAACTCCACTGGCTCGTGTTCTATACATTGCGCTGTACTGCGATGCTTTTAGATTTCCATTGTCTTAAACCTCATTGTTTCTTTTAAGCTGAATATTGCTGAAGTCCAGTCACTTTAATGGCAGAATTCAAGACCTATCAAATACTTTTTTTTTTGCTGCAAAGGTGGCATTTCCGGAGCCATTTTCGCAATGCTGTTGTGAAGCTTGTTTTTTTTACTGGCATAGGCTGCGCTGTAGTAGGATTAGGATATGCGTTTCTATGGAAGTCTCTCTTTTTAGCCCCTCCCTCTGGAGATGCAGTGAGGTTTTATTAGAGATTGATATCCACTGCAGCTTTGGAATAATTCTGCATGACATTTCAAGAGCTTTGATTGGCTTTCTGACCTAGAAGCTACCCAGCTGCAACCAATAGAACAGTATTCCATGATCATCATAGTCTTGAATTTAGGGAAAGCAGACGCAAGCTACAGCTTGTAAATTGCATCTTTTCATATTGACTTTTGCCATTTGTGTGCTTAAAATGCATGGATTCTATGTGTCTCCCCCTTTTTACGTTATCTTAACAGCTCTGCATGCATTTATAATCCTCTTACCACGCTCATATTTCTTGCGTTTTCCATGCCTGTACAACTAACCTCTGTGGTGAGTTTTTTTTTGTTGCCATGACAACCAATCAGCCAATCCAATTCCTTATCTTCATGTGGATTGTACTCCCTCAGACAGGACTGGAAGTGCTGGGGTGGGGAGGATTGGGAAGACGGGGGCTGACAAACAATGTGTCCATGTGTTTCTTCTGCATTTTCTTTGCTGCACTGGGAAGCAAATGTGGTGCATGGGATTTTACAAAGATGCAATCCTTCACCGCCAAGAAGACTTAATAATAAAGGCTTAAAATTTACAAGTTGTTTTTTTCTAAAACCTTCCATGGATCTCCAGATTTTAAATGTCAGTTGAGTTTTACACTGCAGTACATATGAAGAGAGCTTCTGTGATTT